TTTGAAATATAAAGATAAACTAGTATAAACAAATAATAATGATTTTACATATTTTATTTATTGATGATTAAATAATATTAACTTAGTTGTTTTCGTATTAGATGTCCCTGAATTTTTTTAGTATATTGTTTGCCTAAATTAAAAAATCTTATTCGCATATATGCAGAAACAACACTTTTCGTTAGAATTAATAAATGACTTTCATGCGAGTGATAACACTGTGCTCTATTAAACTAAAGAACATAGTTCTGCACAATTATAAAATTGTTGTACCACAGAAGCAACAAATACAATCATGAAATCCTTTTCATGTGGCAATTTATTTTCAGTGAATACTAAAAGTTGTCTTATTGCGGTAATTCTGAATATTTTTTTTTAATTTTATCAGGTGATATACTGAAGTAATGTAACATGTAAGCTAAGCAATATAGTTATTGGTTGGGGTTGGAGACAAAATACATGTAACGTGTATAACTCGCATAACCTAATTACTATTTTTTCTAAGATGTACCTATAACTATGTTCGGTTTGAAAAAACTTTATACGTTTTCTCCTTGTGCTGCTATCAGTATTTGTAGAAGTATCTTGACTAGATGACAATTCACCAAAATAATAATATACACTGCCAGGGAAAATAATATTTATTTAAAAAAATTAGTATTAACAAAAAATAATATTACCAATGGTTCTGATTAAGTTTAGAACGCTCTGCCGTATCATCTAATGACATCGATGATGTAAATGGAGCATTTTTTTGTATGCTATGTAATGTTTCTGGAGCATCGGCTTTATTAGTTAAATAGACTTCTAAATTTGGAACTGCATCAGGCTTTAGGCGAATTTGACTTCCAGCATTCAGAAAATCTTTTTTATTTCTGTGACCATTTAAATTCGTGATCAAGTCTCTGACTTTCTACCCATTTTATAAACATATCACCCCTCGGAAATCTGCAAGATTATTTAAACAGTTGTTGCAAGAAATAAATTCATAAAACCACTCACCGATGAAATGTAATTCCTTTTGGTTTAAAACGCCTTATGTTAAAAAGCACCCCTTCACAGCACACGACATAACAACAATAAAGGTTAAATGTTTTCCTTAGTGTAGAAACGATGTATTGAATATTAAAAAACGTCAACAACGCCAATTTGCCGCTCCAGACGTAAATTATACGTATATAAACAAATAGTAACTCGCCGCGCGCCATTATTCCATGGCTAAAAATTGGCCTCAATGATTTGGGATCGAGGGGGATTATCCCTCTTTATCCTGCCTCATCTCGTGTAGGCCTGGACAGCCTTCGTAGGTGGGCCCCATCCGTCGTCTACCCCGACCGCAAATGCGGCCGNGCCTTCATATCTCTGTCTTCGCCCCAGATCCAGAAATATTGGATTGTGGGCGGAAGACCCTTCGTATTTTTCATGCGAGTGATACATTGTGCTCTGTTAAACTATAGAGAACAGTTCTCCTGCACAATTATAAAATTGTTGTTGTACCACAGAAGTAACAAATACAATCATGAAGTCCTTTTCATGTGGTAATTTATTTTCAGTGAATACTAAAAGTCGTCTTATTGCGATAATTCTGAATATTTTTTCTTAATTTTATCAGGTGATATACTGAAGTAATGTAACATGTAAGCTAAGCAATATAGTCATTGGTTGGGGTTGGAGACAAAATACATGTAACGTGTATAACTCGCATAACCTAATTACTGTTTTTTCTAAGATATAACTATGTTCAGTTTGAAAAAACTGTTCTCCTTGTGCTGCTATCAGTAGGTACTTGCAGAAGTATCTTGACTAGATGACAATTCACTAAAATAGTAATATAGACTACCAGAGAAAATAATATTTATTTAAAAAAATTAGTATTAACAAAAAATAATATTACCAATGGTTCTGATTAAGTTTAGAACGCTCTGCCGTATCATCTAATGACATCGATGATGTAAATGGAGCATTTTTTTGTATGCTATGTAATGTTTCTGGAGCATCGGCTTTATTAGTTAAATAGACTTCTAAATTTGGAACTGCATCAGGCTTTAGGCGAATTTGACTTCCAGCATTCAGAAAATCTTTTTTATTTCTGTGACCATTTAAATTCGTGATCAAGTCTCTGACTTTCTACCCATTTTATAAACATATCACCCCTCGGAAATCTGCAAGATTATTTAAACAGTTGTTGCAAGAAATAAATTCATAAAACCACTCACCGATGAAATGTAATTCCTTTTGGTTTAAAACGCCTTATGTTAAAAAGCACCCCTTCACAGCACACGACATAACAACAATAAAGGTTAAATGTTTTCCTTAGTGTAGAAACGATGTATTGAATATTAAAAAACGTCCATAGCGCCAATTTGCCGCTCCAGGCGTAAATTATACGTATATAAACAAATAGTAACTAATAAATAATTCACGAAACATAACCTTGCTCACTCCTCAAAAATTAAAACAAAACAAATTGATGTTCATAGACAATGACAGTTCATGTTCAAAATGGCGGCACTGGTAGTGTCCCTCGAAAATAGGATGCGCAGAAGTCAATGAGCATTCTCCCTACT